TGAAGAAAAGTTGCAGCAGAAACTCGAGTCATAAGCCTGACATTGAAAAAGACACCATGGGAGAAGGCTGTTTTTTGGCTGGCTCCTTCTAAACTCCTCAATTTACCTTTTTTATGTACTTTTGGGCCACACAGGGATCACACCACCCAAAGTGGGCTTAAAAATCGTCATAGGTCTGCCTATAAGGCAATTTGAAAGGGACATTTTTTTCAATTAAGATTTCCTTTTCTCAAATGACTCTAGACTGTTTCAAGTAGTGGAGCACCTTCCCCAGGCTTTACACTTCTGTCTAAGTGAAAATGAATCGGCGGTTGAAGTGATCATAGCATATGATGCAGAGTTTAGAATCCTGAACACCAAGAAATGTAGTGTTTTAAACAAGGAAGGAAGAGATAACAAAGAACATGTTTCTCAAATACATTAAGGGAGGAAATAAACTATTGTGTCAGTATATTTCTTACCTTGTAATGGCAACTGTAAAAATAAAGAAGGAGGTCTGATTCAGGTGGATAGAAAAGTGAAAAGGGAGGAAAAAGAGGAAAAGATACACTTTAGGAGTTTAACTATAAGTAGCAAAACACAGTTCCATCAGTAAGATGCTTTTTCTTCCTCCATAGTGGGAAAAGATACTATCATATGACCAACTTCTACTTATAGAATTTTCTAGTTCTTAAAAGAAAAGAAGATGGAAACATTGTCAGCCATTTTAGTAATTTTTAGACAGAGAGAAACAACCCAAACGACCCTTGGAATATAGCCAGATTCTTTAAAAGTGAAACATGTCATTTATTCTTTAACATCAATTCCTTCATATTGGTACCAGGTGATATTGTCCTTCCATTTCTGTCCTAAAGCACTCCGTTTTCTCTTCTGTTCCTTCTGGGATACTTTTTTTTTTTTTCTCGAATGGCATGTGTTACTGTTCACTTGTTACATTATGCATAAACATAAGATTATACAGAGATTAAGTCTGCTCATCTTCAAAATCCCCTGAGCATGTTTGGCCATGCATCTTTTCAGTCCTGAGTTCTGACCATTGTCTAGATTTTAGTAGAACATATATGGAGTCTTTCCATAGAACATTAGATGTTCAGTTTCCAAACGTTGTGCACCACCACCAGGCTTAGATTTTTCACCAAACCTACTTTATTTAGGGTTCTTAAGCACCTTTACCTCCCTTCCAACTCCCCTCCCCCTCCTACAACTTTAGGTAGGAGATTAATAGGGAAAAGGACTGTAGACCTCTTTCATCAGCTTCCTGCTGATTAGCCGGTGGATTGCTAGAGGATTGCTACACTCAGTCGTCAGGATACCAGCAGTCCAGTTGAAAGGCCAACATGGAGTAGCAAAACGAAGTCAGCGAAAGCCACAAGACCAAGTTGGATTGCCTGGAGAAGCTCTCTGGGACACTTCTTTCTGTGAGGTCCAGGGTCAAAACACAAAGATCAGCACAGCGATGTTAATCCAAAAAGAGTGTCTCACTCCGCCGAAGCTTCTGTATAGGAGTGGACTTCTCCTCAAAGTCCACTCACGGATTTTATCAGCTGGCCAAAGTCAGCTCCCTCACAAGAGAGAGCAAAACATCACGTGCCCAGCTTGGAGAAAAACATCATATGACCAGACTGAGTCCAGAAACTTCCACTTCAGATGTGCGCACCATCAAGTTTGGTTTTATACCCTCTGCATCTATGGGCACTAAATAATTGCTGCATACTTGAGCCCATCAAGAGAGATAATTCATTGGTCATCATTTTGTTAACCAGAGACATCCTTCATCTTTACTCCAATTTTTGAATCTTTATATGTAGCTAAGAAGAATCACCCCTAAATAAAAGTAACAGTAATAAATGAGGCACTGTTATTAAGTAGTATTTTTGAGTAATTTTCCATGTTTTAATATACATGTGAAATCAACGATTATATTTTGACTTGATGTTCAGAAAACTGTACTGGTGTTCAAAACATATGTCAAACTACAATCTCTTTTGTTTTCTCAATATGCAAAAGCTTTTCATGCATCAATGATTGTATAGTTGTATATGTTGTTATTCTGAAATGATGACAAATTATATTAAAATTATATTAAATTATGTATAAATTATATTAATGTGATAACTTAACTGGAACTTTATAGTGTGAAAAATAATTTGCTCATTATAACCTCTTGGTTTCACTGATGACATAGCTGACTGATCATGTTAACAGAGAGCAGTTTGAAGGATAAAACAATAAATTAATGTATTCCTCTCAGTTCTACCATGATAACTATAAGACATTATCAGTGTGTGCTAAACACAATCTTTTGTCATTGTCATCAATATGCAGATGATTTTCTAAATAATCTATTTTATAAAGATTTCATATCTAAAACATGCTAAATATGTAATAAGATATGTTACATAATTGGCCTGATTTTATTAGTTGCAATATATGTTAATTTTAGTATATACACTATTTGGGTTTTTATGGTCAAAGTTTTATATCTCTTAAGACTTTTTTTGCAAGTCCTACCAGTTTCTACATTTTTGAAGGACCAACAAACTGCACACTTGAAACTAACTGGCTTCTCTTTTTTTCACTCTCTTGTAAGTCATCTGTACATTCTATCAGTGTTGAGGCAGTAATTTTTACTTTGAATGCTTAGTCGGGATTATCTGGGAATACATATGCTTGAAGTGCTGTTGGACTTCTTCCTACAATACCAAAGTGAGAATGGGATTGCTGTCAGTTATTTAACCATTCTTTATTTTTTTGTTAATTGAATTATTTATTTATTTTACATCCTGGTCAGAGCTTTTCCTTCCTCCTCTCCACCCAGTCTCTCACTCTCTCATCTCACCTCCCAACTTTGAATTGGGATTAAACAGAATGGGAAATGTAAAAAAAAAAAAAAAAAAAAAAAAAAAGTTTCTACAGCTTTGTGTGTAAAAATTTGGATGAGATTGTTATAGGAGTTGTGTGCAGGAGGAAAAAGACGCAAAAATCATTAATCTGTTCCAGTTTATATAGTTAAATCCTGATAACCAAAAAATATCTATATTGGAAAACAGTTTGCATGAAAGTAAATCATTCTGTTCATAAACTGAAGTGTATGCCTATACATACAGGGATGGATGCATATATAGAGATGTACATTCAAAATTCTCTATTTTTATTAATTATCTACGTTTGAACAAATGTCCTACATACTCTGAGTTTCATTTCTTATAATTATAGCTTCCATGGCAATGTTATCATAAAGATTAATTGACAAAAGTATTTGTGGAGCCTTTCCTATGGCACCTACCATCTGTGAAGTCCACAAACCAAATGCAACTACGGGTGAGAAAATGGGGTGTGATGATACACACAAATTCAGCACAATAGTTGGAATAGTTCACTCATCAGAAACGTGATGAGGAATGCTCAGAAATTCCTCCTGTAACCACCTAGAACCTACACTAATGATAATCTATGAGCATTTAATTACTATGGTGAGTTACACTATAGAAATGGTAAATACTGTAAAAAAAAAAAAAAAAAAAAAAAAAGAGGCTTGGGAAATTGCACCTGTCGCATTCCACAATAAAAATTTTATAGATCTGAGCCAATTGTAAACATCACTTGGAAATAAGGAAGACACAAAAATAGTCATTCTATGCCCAGGGCTAAAGCAGCATGGAATCTGCTCCCTAAATTCCACAGAATGTAAAAGAGAGATAACAAGACAATCATTACTAAAATCATGTTTAAAATGTACTTTAAGAATTATGAAATATTTCAAAGTTGATATAACAAATAATTTTAAAGTTATTTAAGCTTTCTAATTTTACTATTTTGTATTTTTAAATCAGTAAATGAAAAAAGTTAAAAATGAATGTAGACATATAAATATTATCTATGAGAATAGAGGGATAGGTGTAAATAAGCCCATAAATTTGTAATATTTCCATGTCATTACATTTTTCAAAATAGATACTTGTACACTACTGTTTCTGTGATCACCAGACTTTCCTATTCTTTAGGGGTGCACTAAAACTAAGATTCACATTTCATGGGGCTAAACATTTTGAAAATACTCAAAATACACTCATCAATACAAACTCATGAATTCTAGTTGGTAACTGTTTTATATTATGGGTTTTCATTTAAAAACAAAACAAAACTGTGTGAACCTAGGTGAATTTGAAGATGAGGAGAAGAAGCCATTGGCTGTGCTGTGGTCCTTCATCTGAAAAGCTGCGAAAAGGAAGCATTTTAGTTTTCTGTATTTTAAGAGTTAGTTGCTTCTTCTAGATAGTGTACCCATCTTTAATCAGTTTCATGATTTATTGTTAGATTAAAATGTATTTGGAGAAGACTGTAAGTTATATACTCTGAAGTTTATTGTTGTCTCATGTTTATTTAATTTATGTTCTGGATAACAAATTTTTATTATAAGTTACACATATTACAGAAGAAGAAAATGTAGGCTATTTTTCCCTATAGTTCATGTTTCATATGTCCATGTTTCATTTCTTTAAACTTTAAATTTATTGGTGTTTCCTGGGTATGTTTAGGGGGTCAGGTTGCATTCCATGGCACATATGTGGAGATGGCATGATTACTTTATGGGATTGAGTCTCTCCTAACTTTACATAGGTTCCAGGAATTGAATTCAAGTCCTCATCATTACAAAGCAAGTGTCGTATTTCACTGATACAAACTTACCATGGTGCTTTATGAATGCACCAAAAGAAAGTCCGATAGATGAATATTTTTGTATAATTGTGTTAAACAGCAATGACAGATTTGGACTACAAAATATAAACAGCTCAGGGGTAAAACTGTAATCATGAAGAGCAGAGATCGAGGGAGGCTAGGAATAAGCCTATAATGAAAAAGAAAAATTGTATCATGTAATCAAACTTTTCAGGGTAACAAATTATGCTTGCTTTTGCTTTAAAATCAAACACAAGTGGTGGTAGCAGGCAGGATCTATTACCCAACAGTTAAGAAACTGCTTTAAAATCCCATTCAGCATGGTCACATCGGCAACTTATATACCAAAATTGGAAAAATACAGAGAAGAGTAGCATGGCCCCTCTGCAAGGATGACACCCAAACTTAGGAAGCATTCCTTATTTTTGAAGAGACCTATCACCCCTAAGGATATAGATACTGTCATTAAAAGTCTTCAAACCAAAAAACAGTCCAGGACCATGTGGTTTTAGTGAAGAATTCTACCAAACTTTAAAGAAGACCTAATATTAATGCTCCTGAGATTATTCCACAAAATAAAAACAACAAAAAGAACATTGCCAAATTCAGTTTGTAAGGCTATAGTCACCCTGATATTTAAACCACGCAAAGATTCAACAAATAAAGAGAATTTTAGACCAATTTCTTTTCTGTACTTTGAGGAGAAAATACTCAATAATATATTCACAAATCCAGCAGGGTATTGAAGCAGATGTTGAGATTCATAGCTAAACTTTGGGCAGATTACAGGGAATCTTATGAAAGAAGGGGAAGAAGAAAGACCCAGAGGGGACAGGAGCTCTAGAAGAAAGCAACAGAACCAAAATATCCGGGCGCAGTGGTTTTTTCTGAGATGGATACTCCAAACAAGGGCCACACATGGAGATAACCTACAACTTCTGCACAGATGTAGCCCATGGAAGCTCAGTGTCCAAGTGGGTTCCCTAGTAATGGGAACAGGGACTGTCTCTGACATGAATTCAGTGGCTGGTTCTTTGACCACCTCCCCCTGGGGGGAGTGCAGCCTTACCAGGCCACAGAGGACAACAATACAGCCAGTCCTGATGAGACCTGATAGACTAGGGTCAGATGGAAGGGGAGGAGGACCTCCATTATCAATGGACTTGGGAAGGCACATAGGGGAAGAACAGGGAGGGAGGGCAGAATTGAGAGGGGCTGAGGGAGGGGGCTACAACTGGGATGCAAAGTGAATAAACTGTAATAAATAAAAAATTAATTAATTAATTAGTTAATTAAAAATATTCACAAACTGAAGAACACATTAAAAACATTATTTACCATATTCAAGTACGCTTCATCCCAGAGATGCAGGACTGGTTCAACATACGTAAATTTGTCAGTGTAAACCACCATATAAACAAACTAAAAGAAAATAACAAAACATGGTCTTCTCATTAGATGCTGCTTTGGCAGAATCCAACACCTTTTCATGATGAATGTCTTCGAACGATCAGGGCTACAAGGCACATACCTTAACATAATAAAAGCAATATACAGCAAGCCTGTAGCTAATATCAAATTAAATTGAGAGAAACATAAAGCTTTTCCACTAAAATCAAGTACAAGACAAGGCTTTACACTCTTTCTGTATCTGTCAAATCAATACTTCAGGTTCTAGCTGGAGCAATAGACAACTGAAGGAGATCCAGGGGGTACAGATTGGAAAAGGTCAAAGAATTGCTACCAGGGAACACCTACAGCTGATAAACACCTTCATCAATTTGACTGGATAAAAAAAAAAAAAAATTAATTCAGAAAAAATCAGTAGTTCTCCCATATACACATGATAAATGGGTTGAGAAAGAAATTGGGGAAATAACACACTTTGCAGTAGCCACAAATAATAGAAAGTATCTTGCTGTAACTCTAACCAAGCAGGTGAAAGACCTCTAAGAAAAGAACTTCTAATCTCTGTGAAACAAAACTGAAGAAGATATCAGAAGTTGGAACGATAGATCTCCCATGTTCACTAAGCAGTAGGATTAACATAGTTTAAAAATGGCCATCTTACCAAAAGCAATCTACAGATTCAATGTAATTCCCATCAAAATTTCAACACAATTCTTTAGAGATCTGTAAAGAGCAATTACCAACTTCATATCAAAAAAATAAAAACAAATAAACAAACAAAAATTCCAGGATTGCTGAAACAATCCTGCCTAATTCTGGAGCTATCACCATCCCTGAGTTCAACCTATAGTACAGAGCAATAGAAATAAAAGCCACATGGAATTGGCATAAAAACAGGTAGGTTAATAGACTGCTCCTCCCCTGGGGGGGGGGGTCAAACAGCCTGCCCTTGACTTGGAAAGGGGCAGGGAGGAGACCAGGGAGGGAGTGCGGGGTTGGGGAGGGAATCAGGGAGCGGGATACAGCTGGGACACAGAGTTAACAAAATGTAACTAAAAAGAAAAATAAGATTAAAAAAAAAAATTTCAAAAAAAAACAGGTAGGTTGATATATCCAATCAAACTGAAGACCTAGAAGTAAGTCCACATACCTTTGAACGCTTGACTTTTTACAAAGAAGGCAAAATTATACAATAGAAAAGGAAAGTATCTTCAGCAAATGGTGCTGGTGTTCTAACTGAATGTCTGCATGTACAACAATGGAAATAGATCCATATCCACCACACTGCAGAAAACTCAAGTCTAAATCGATCTAAGTCCTCACATAAAACCAGATACACTACACCTGATAGAAAAGTAAGTGGGGAATAGTCTTGAACACATTGGCACAGGAGACAACTTCCTAAAGATCATCAATTAATAAATGGGACCTCATGAAACTGAAAAACTTCTGTAAGGCAAAGGACCACATCAAAAGGACAAATACGGCAGCCTATAGGATGGGAAACTATCCTCACCAGTTTCAAATCTGACACAGTGCTGACATCCTCAATCTATAATGAACTCAAAATGTAAACACTAACAAAGCAAATAACACAATTGAAAAATGGGGTACAGATCTAAACAAAGAATCTCTAACGCCTGAGAAGCTCTTAAAGAAATGTTCAATATCCTCAGCGGTCAGGGAAATGCAAATAAATATGACCCTGAGCTTCCATCTTACAACTGTCAGAATGGCTAAGATCAAAAGCTCAAATGACAGTTAATGCTGAGGATGATGTAGAACAAGGAAAAACTCCTCCATTTCTGTTGGGAGCGCAAATTAGTACTGCCATTTAGAAAATCAATTTACGGCTGGGCTTAGTAGCTCATGCCTATAATCCCAGCACTCAGGGAGGCAGAGGAAGGCGGATCTCTGTGAGTTTGAGGCTAGTCTGGTCTATAAACCAATGCTACACAGAGAAATCCTGTCTCATCAAAAGGGGGGATGGGGGAATCAATCTAGCTGTTTCTTAGAAAACTGGAAAACAGGTCTACTGCAAGAACCAACTATACACTCCCGGTCTTATACCCAAAGGATGCTTTACTATACCACAAGGATGCTTGCCCATGTTCATTGCAGCCTTGTTTGTGATAGCTGTAACTGGAAACATAAATGTTCCTCAAACAAATCATGGAGAATGGAAATGTAGTACATTTACACTGTGTAGTGTCACTCAGCTATTAAAGACAATGACATCGTTAAATTCGCAGGGCAAATGGATGGAACTAAGATAGCTCATCCTAAGTGAAGTAACCCAAGCCCGTAAATACAAACCTGGTACGTACTCACTTATATGTGGACGTTAACCATAAAGTACAGGATAACCATGCTACAACCACAGACCCAAAGTAGCCAAGTAACAAGGAGGAATTGTGGGGCACAGTGTGTGTGTGTGTGTGTGTGTGTGTGTGTGTGTGTGTGTGTGTGTGTGTGTCTTCCTGAGAAGTTGAAATAGAATTGACACAGCTGTGGCTGGACAGTGGGGAGGCTACTGGATGGGGAAGGAGTTAGGATTGGAACAAGAGAAACCAGGTGAAGAAAGAACTGAGGGAGAGAGTACTGGGTGAGACAACCAGGATGGGGGGGAGGTGGGGAAGGGGGGAAGCATCTCTGGGATCAGCTGGAAACCTAGGGCAATGGAAAAATCCCAAGAATCCATGAGGGTGACCCGAGCTTAAGGCTCCTAACAATGGGAGATGTGGAGCCTGCACTGGCCGTTTCCTGTAAACAACAAAGGCTTCCAGTGGAGGGATTCAGACACCAGTCTAGCTTGGAAACCTTCAACCCACAGTTTGTCCTGCCTACAAAATGTGCTGGGGTAAGAAATGGAGCACAAATTTAGTGAGTGGCCCACAAAAGAATTATCAAGCTTGACACCCATGCCGTGAGAGGGAGCCCACATCTGACATGTTGATAATATTCCTCTATGCTTTCAGCATAATCATCATCAGAGAGGCTTCACCCAGCAACTGATACAAACAGATCCAGGGACCCAGTGCCAAACATCAGGCAGAGGACTCTAGGAGCCAGCGGGGTCAAGAACACAATAACAACAACAACAAACACACAGAAGCAACTACCCTGGGGCTCACAGAGACTGAGCTGCCCACCAGAGAGCACGCATGGAACTGACCTAGGCCCTCTGCACATGTGTAACTGTTGTGTAACTCAGCCTTCATGTGGGATTCCTAACAGTGGGAGCACGGGCTGTCTCTGACTTTTTGCTGGCTTTTGGGACCCTTTTTCTTATAGTGTGTTGCCTTTCCCAGCCATAATGCAAGGGGAGGAGCCTAGTCTTTTTTGTAACTTGATATGCCTCGGCTAGTGGAATTCGATTTGGAGAATGCGTTTTTTGCTTTCCAGACATAGACAGATGAAGGAAAATACTAGGCTTTTGTTGACAACTCACCTTTTAGAAATATGGGCACAATTGCACAGACACCTCTGTGGGTTCCTCCCACATGATGTATGTGTCTTTGAAGTTAAAGCACACTCAGAGCTCGCTTTAAAACACTTCTCTAGAAGTCTGGAAAACACTCTGGTTGCAGTGGCCCAAAATCTGTTGCCCTTCTGCTTTCCTAAATTGGCAAAGTGACAAGAAAGCAAAAAATGCAAATTAGAAAAGGTCCCACTGCTAGGATGGAGCAGGTTTTACTTTGTTTTGGAGTTAGTTTATAGTCTACATAAGACACATGTTACATTTATTTTCTTCCATACTATTACACATGATAAATGTTTTCTTCCACCAAAAGCTTCTTGTCCTAAAACTGTTATGAATGTGCCTGTAGCAAATGCACAAAGTTCCCTAGTGTACATGTCACCCAGCACAATGTCTTCAAATGTGTTCAGGCAATGTTCTAGAAACTCCAAAGTTTACCTCAAGATTCTGAGACAAAATACAGACTCTTAGCTGTAAAAGCCAGCAAAAGTTTGAGAAACAAATAACATATTTCCACAAGGAGTGTTCAAGGCCAC